CACGGCCGCCCCGCCCGCCGCTCCGCTCCGGCTGCTTTCGAGCCCAAGTTCCGAGCGGGGCCCACTCCGGAGACAGGCCCGAGCCGTGACGCACTTCCGGGAGCCGGTTCACGGGAGCACGTGACGCGGGAGCGTGCCGGGGGGGGGGCAGCGGTCATGTGACCAGCGACGGGGGGCTACCCGCTAGCGCGAGCCCCCTCCCCGGGAGCGGCGGCGCCATGGCAACGACGCGGCCGTGACGTCACCGCGCCGCCGCCGGGGGCGGCCCGCCCCGCAAGGGCGCGACCTCTGGCCCCGGGCGCCGCCGTCGCCGTCGCCATGGCAACGGGCCGGCCACAACCGCGGCCAACGGCCACGGGCAACGGCCAATGGCAACGGCCACGGCCAACGGCCACGGCCATGGACAACGGCCACGGCCACGGCCTCCAGTGCTGTCCCACTCTGCCACCCACAGCCCCACACTGTGTTCCGGCCGCAGTGCCGCCCCACGTGCCCACCTTGCCCCGCGGTGCCTCAACACGACCCGCGCTGTCACCCACCCCTCATGTATGGCTCGTCACCCACCCTGCTGCGGTGCCACCCGCTCACAGACACCACAGTCCCATGCTGTCACCCTGCTGCGGTGTCACCTACCCTCCAGCCATCCTCCGGCTCTGCGCTGTCACCCTGCTGCAGTGTCACCTGCCCCACAGCCACCCCACAGTCCCATACTGTCACCCTGTTGTGTTGTCACTCATCCTAGAGCCACCCCACAGTCCCATGGTCACCCTGTTGCGATGTCATTCGTCCTGCAACCACCCAACAGTCCCATTGTCACCCTGTTGTGGTGCCACTCGTCCCACAACCACCCCACAGTCCCATTTCGTCACCGTGCGGCAGTGTCACCTGCCCCACAACCACCCCACAGTCCCATGCTGTCACCATGCTGCAGTGTCACCCATCCCACAGCCACCCCACAGTCCCATTGTCACCCTGCTGAGGTGTCACCCATCCCATAACCACCCCACAGTCCCATTGTCACCCTGCTGCAGTGTCACTCATCCCACAACCACCCCACAGTCCCATACTGTCACCCCACTGCATTGTCACTCACCCCACAGCCCCATGCTGACCACACAGCCCCGCCAGCCCCTACCACGTCCTCCACGCTGCCTGCCCCACAGCAGCACCCCAGCCCCATGGCCACCCTACAGCACGGCCACCCCACCGCGTGTCACCCCACCACCAGCACGGCCCCAAACCCCCTTTCGCCCCCCAGCCGGCGCAGGGCCCGCGGGCAGCGGCGGGACGCGGGCAGCCTCGTGCTGTAGCTTTATTGAGGGGCGCCGCGCGCCCCGCCGCGCCGTGGGGCGAGTGGGGTCCACCGGGCGCTCACTGGCAGGTGTTGTAGATCTGCACCTGCTGGTTGATGGCCTCCAAGATGCCCCTCATCCTGGCCTCCAGCCCGTCCAGCTGCGCCGCCTTGGTGTCCAGCACCCGCTCGTTGTGCTCGTAGGCCTCCTCCAGCACTGCGGGGCACGGGGGTGCTCAGCGCGGTGCCACCCGCGTGGTGCCACCAGCATGGTGCCATCTGCATGGTGCCACCTGTGTGGTGCCACCCGCATGGTGCCACCCGTGTGGAGCCACTTGCATGGTGCCACCCATGCGGTGCCACTAGTGTGGTGCCACCTGCACGGTGCCATCTGCATGGTGCCACCCATGTGGTGCCACCGACATGGTGCCATTTGCACCGTGCCACCTGCATGGTGCCACCCGTGCGGTGTCACCAGCATGGTGCCATCTGCACGGTGCCACCCATGTGGAGCCACTTGCATGGTGCCACCCATGTGGTGCCACCCGGCGCCCCTCACCTCGCAGGCGCTGCAGCTTGTCCTGCGCCTCGCGCAGCAGCCCCGCAGCCTCGGCGCGCAGCTCGTCCGCCCGGCTCCCCGCCTGCAGCGCGCCCTGCGCCCGGTGCTGCACCAGCTCCTGCGCCGTGCGGTACCGGTCCCGCAGGTGGCCCTCGAGCAGCTGCCGCGACAAACGGGAGCGTCGGCGCCGCTGTCACCGCTGGCCCCCCAGTGCCGCCGTGCGCCCCCGTCCCGGCTCGCTTGCCTGCTTGGCCTCGTCGGCTCGGGCGCGCGCGCCGCCCGCCGCGTCCTCGGCGCGCGCGGCGGCCAGGCTGTTGTTGGCTCGCTTCACCTTGAGCGCGTCCAGCTGCCCGTCCAGCAGCCCAACCCGCTCCGTGGCGCTGGCCAGATGCTGCTCGGTGTCCGCCATCTGCGCCTGGATCTGGGCACTGGCACCATGAGGTGGGGACGGACACCGCCGGGGTGCCCGTGTGGTGGGGACGGACACCACCGGGGTGACCGCGCATGGGAATGGCACTATCGGGGTGACAGACCAAGGATGGGGGAGCCCGCACGGTGGGGAAGGACACCAGGATGTGATGGGGATCAAGGCCATGAGGGTGCCCCACGGCAGGACACTGAAAGGGTGCCCACAGGCCAAGCATGGCCACCTTGGTCTGCCAGGAAGCTCATGCAGTGGACAGGGGCACCGCAAGATCGTCTGCATGGTGGTGACCGATGGCATGAGTGCGCCCCAGGGCCGGGATGGACAAAGGTGTCCACGTGGCACACACCGACACCATCAGGGTGTCTGGGCCACGCGGGCAGGGCTCCAACCGTTCCCGAGGGGACAGCGGAGGCCCTTACCGCGCCGAGCGCTCTCTCGCTGTGCCGCATGTCACCGGTGGCGCTGCCGATGGCCTCCTCGGCCGTGCCCTGCGCGCGCTGCGCCTCCTGCAGCGCCTGCCGCACCGCCCCGGCCGTGCTCCTCACGCTCTCGGCCCGCGACCTGCGCCGGGGGCGGCCGCGGCCTCAGCGCCGGCCGGGGCCGGTGTGCCGGGCAGTGCCCCCCGGCGCCGCGCTCACCTGGCCCTCTGCGCGTCCTGCAGCAGCCGCCCGGCCTGGCGCACGTCGCCGGCCGTCTGCTCCAGGATGGCGTCCACGCTGGCCAGCCCGCGCACCCGCGCCTTGATCTCCTCGGCCAGCCCGTGGATCTGCGCCGGCGAGGCCGGCAGCGACAGCTCCAGCACGCGGCTGGCCACCACCTCGATGCTCTCGGGGTCGGCACCCTCCTCTGTGGGCAGGAGCCGTCAGTGCCGTGTGGTGCCCCCCGGGCAGAGGGGCGCGGGCTCGGGGATGACACAAGGGGTTGGGGATGCATGGGTGGACAGGGCAGGGGGTAACAGGCAGTGGGGAGGGCAGCGTGGGGCGGGATAGCTGTGGGGCACGGGGCAATGCAGTAGGGTTGGACGGTCCACATGCAGCGCAGGACAGGCGGTGGCGTGCAAGGCAGCGCGGGCACCGCGGCGCCGGGCAGCCTCGCGGCATGCCGGCACTCACGGCTCAGGAAGGCCTTGACGTGGCTGATGAGCTCCCGCAGCTCCTTGTTGGAGCGCTCCACGCGCGCCCTGGTCTCGTTGGCCTTGTCCAGGGCCGCCTGCGCCCGCAGCCGGGCCTCGTCCGCCTTCCCCTTGGCCTCAGCCACCTGCCCGGGGGACACAGACCCTCAGTGTGGGCCGGCACGGCGTGGCGCCCGCGGCACCCGCGGCACGCACCCTGTGGGAGAGCTGGGCCACGTCGGCGGTGCCGCGCTGCAGCTCCTCGTGGGCATGGCGTGCCCGGGCCAGCGCGCTGTCCGCCGTGGACACGGCCCCGCCGCAGCTCAGGCCCCCGCAGCGCCGGCCTCCGTCCTCATCCCGGCAGCCGGCTCCTCCGCACGGGCTCTCGGCGCAGGGCACGTCGGCCGCGGCCCCGCACACCTGCAGGGCAGCGCGGGCTCGCAGCGGCTCCGGGAGCGCTCCCGGCTCCGTGCCCATCGCCCCTCACCTTCTCGTTGAGCGGGTGCAGGCTCAGCGCGCGCGCCCGCGCCGCCAGCTCCGTCAGCGCCCGCCGGCTGGCCGCGTTGCGCCGGTTGAAGCCGTCGCGGCGGGCGGCCAGCAGCTGCTCCGCGCGGTGCCGCGCGGCTGCTGAAGCGCTCACGGGGCCGTGTGGGGCGCGCGCCGCATCGTCCGCCCGCCGCTCGGCCTCCCGCCACTCCGCGTGGGACTGGCGGATGCTGTCGTAGGCACCTGGGGGTGGCACGGGCACCGTGGGACCCCCAGTTGTGGCACTGCCGCCCGGCCTGGCCCCGGCACGGGGCGCCCGCTCCGCTCACCAAGGAAATTGGACGTCTTGAGGGTGTGCAGCCGCTGGCCCAGCTCCTGCACGCTGTGGTTGAGGGCGCGCGCGCCCCGCTCCACGGTGCTCAGCACGTGGCTCGCGTTGAAGTTGCTGTCCTGGGTGGCCGTCAGCTGCCCCTCCAGCTGCGTCAGCCTCTCGGTGGCCTCTTCGATCTGCTGCCTGCGACGCAAAGTGGGTGAAGAGCTGGCCCGGGTCTGCCCGGGCCCCGCGCGCGGCGCCGGCGCTCACCGCAGCGCATCCATGGTGCGCACGAGATGCGTGGCAGTGGCCGCGGTGGCATTGCGGGCGGCGACGATGGCCTGTGCGGCGGCCAGGCTGTCCTGCAGCCGGCGGAAGGTGCCCTCGAAGGCGCCGGCGGCGCCCGTGTGCTGCAGGAGGCTGGCGCGCTGCGCCAGCGCCCGCGTGCGCGCCGCCAGGTCCTGCACCACGCGGTCCCAGTCCCCGAAGCAGGGGTGGCAGGGATGGCAGGCAGGGAAGGCGCCGGCAAAGCCCCGGGCGCACTGGTCGCAGCGCACGCCCGAGACGCCGGGCCGGCAGTCGCAGTGCCCGCTGCCGCGGTGGCACTGGGCACTGGCAACACCACGAGGGTCACAGTCGCAGGCTGTGGGGACAGCGGGTGTCAGGGTGCCGGGGGCTCAGCGCGGTGGCCGTCCCGCCGTGCCCGCCCCGGCGCTCACCTCGGCACAGCTGCCGCGGGTCGCCCCAGTGGTTCTCCTGGCAGTCGGCGCAGGTGCGGCCACCAAAGCCCGCCCGGCACGAGCACTGCCCCGTGAACTGAAAGAAACAGCAAGGCCCAGGCTGGCACCCTGCCACCTGCGCCCGGCCACCAGCACCCATCCCCGCGGTGTCCCACCTGGTTGCAGGCGGGTGCCAGGGCGTGCTGCGGGTGGCAGGCGCAGGGCTCGCAGCCCTGCCCGCTGCCCAGGTTCCAGTAGTTGGGGCGGCAGCGGTCGCAGCTCTGGCCCTCCACGTGCGGCAGGCAGTGGCACTGCCCGCTGCGCCCGTCGCACCGGCACTCGTGCGGCCCACAGGTGCTGGGGTCGGTGCCCAGAGCGTTGCAGGAGCAACCTGGAACCAGATGGGCACTGAGGCATGAGCGGGGACAGGAATGGGAGTGGAGAGGGGATGAGGACAGAATGGGGACAGCGACAGGATGGAGATAGTGATGGGATGGAGATGGGGACAGCGACAGCTTGGGGATGGTGATAGATGGGGGTGAAGTGAGGACAGGAGGGGACAGGATGAGGTGAGGATGGGGATGGGCACAGGATGGGCAAAGGATGAGAGCACGGGGCTGGGCAGAGGGCACCCCGCAGTGTGCATGGGCAGGAGGCAGCTGCAGGCGTGTGGGGCTCCAGGGATACGCCGGGGACATGCCAGGCCCCGGCACAGATGCTCACGCCGGCAGCTGTGCCGCGTGGCGTCCCCGTAGTAGCCGGGCTGGCACTCGGCGCAGTGGGGTCCCGCCGTGTTGTAGAGGCAGCGCAGGCAGCGCCCCGTGCGCCGGTCGCAGGCCTCCGGGTCGCTCGTGTCGATGTTGTTGTGGCACTGGCAGGGCAGGCAGCGCCCGCCCAACTGCAGCGGGTCCCCGTAGTAGCCGGGCGCGCACTCGTCACAGCGGGGACCTGCCGGCACGGGGACATGGGCAGTGCCCGGAGCCAGGGCAGGGGACCCCCGGCTGCCGCTGTGGGGTGCCCTGAGGGCTGCACCCACCTGTGTACCCGGGGCTGCAGTGACAGACAACCTGCTGGGACTGCCCGTCCTGGTGGCACGAGGCGGCAAAGTGGCGGTTGCTGCCAGGCCCCTCCGGGCAGGGGCAGGGCCGGCAGTGCTGCCCGGAGCCCAGCGCCGGGTTCCCGAAGTGCCCAGCCACGCACCTGGGGACAGGCCACGAGTGGGTGCCGGGCGGCGGGCGGCACCGTGCCCTGGGAGCGCATCCCCGGTGCCCCGCGTACCGTTGACACCTCTCGCCGTCCGTGTGGTCGCGGCAGCGCAGGCAGCTGCCCGTGCGCGGCTCGCACTCCTCGGCGTGCCCGTTGCACTGGCAGGGCCGGCACGCCGGGAAGCCCCAGTGGCCGGGCTGGCAGCGGTCGCAGCGCAGCCCGTGGGCGCCCTCGCGGCACGGGCACTGCCCCGTGGCGCTGTCGCAGACGCTGCTCACCGCCCCCTCGCTGCTGCACTGGCAGGCTGCAAGGCAGGACACGCAGCGCGGGACATGCTGGGGACACTGCCACCTGGGCACCCCTTCCCACGCAGCCCGCAGGGCTCCTCACCGCGGGACACTCACCTCGGCACCCAGCGGGCCCGAAGCCGAAGGTGCCCGGGGAGCAGCGGTGGCAGCGGCGTCCCGCCACGTTGGCCTTGCACTGGCACTGCCCGCCCTGGGGCCGGCACTCGGCGCTGAGCGAGCCCTGCGGGTCGCAGAGGCAGGCTGCGGGCAGAGCGCGGCATCAGCGCAGCGCCCGCGGTGCCCGCGCACCCTTGTGCCCGCGCGCCCGGCCCCACTCACGCAGCGCCCCGTCGTGCAGCAGGGCCGAGAGGCTGCGCAGGAGGCTGGAGCAGGGCTCGCCCACGGGTGATCTCCCCGCCGCGTGGAAGTGCTGGCCGCAGCGGTAGCGCTCGAAGGTCTCCCGCCGCCCCATGGCGCCGGGGTCGCCCGCGATGAACATCTCCAGCGAGGAGTGACGGGGCAGGAGCACCAGCTGCGGGACAGGGCATCAGCCCCCCGCGCTCCCCTCATCCCTCGGGATGCTCCCTGTGTGTGACACAGCCACCCCCCGTGCAGCACCCGCGGTCAGGGAGCTGCCGGGCGCCCCTCACCGAGTCGATGAGCATGCTGGCGGCGGGCGGCTCGCGGCGGCCTGTGGCACAGCCCAGCTCCAGGCGGAGGGTGTAGGAGACGCCCTGCTCCAGGCACACGGGCTGCGGCAGCACCACGTACCTGTGGGGCGGCAGAAGGGAGGCCGGGGCAGCCGGGAGCCTCCAGCCCCCGGGCGCCCCACGCAGCCCGGGCACCCACCTGGCGCCCGACGGGAGGCTGGTGGAGAGCTGGTCGTCCGCCGGGATGGTGTTTCCGCAGGGGCTGCTGGCGGACACGGGGCTGGGCCGCAGCACCCACAGCCTCACCTCCTTCCAGGGCTCCGGGTGCTGCGCGCAGAGAACGGGGAGGTCGCTGCACTCAACGCCTCGCCAGACAGGGTCGCCCGCAGCCCTGGCTCGGCAGCGCGGCCGGGCACTCACCTGGGGCTCGTAGCGGATGACCACGTCGTACTCCATGGAGAAGGGCACGTTGGCCACGTGGAACTCCACCGAGCTGCCCTCCGCTACGCGGGCAAAGCCCGTGCCGGTCCACGAGGCCGGGTGGCCGACCAGGGGCTCGCGCTCCACCACGGAGCCCTGGCGCAAGCGGCACTCGTGAGACAGGAGTCCGCAGGGCATCTCGGCCGCAGGCACCCTCTGCCCCACCACACGGCTGCAGAAGAGGTGCCTGGGCACCCTGCAGCCCCCACAGCACCCACCTCACCCCGAGGCGCCAGGAACAGCGTCACCCCTCACCTGCAGCAGCCGGGCATCCTCGGCCTCGTAGGTGTAGTGGTCCAGGTTGATGTAGTAGAAGCCGGGCTCCACCTGGCTGCACTGCCGTCCCACCATGTGGCTGCGGCACCGGCACTGCCCCGTCTCCATGGCACACCTGGCGCACGGACGGCGCCGTCAGCACGGAGCACCCGCGCTCGCCGGGGCCGTGCGCCCGCCGCCAGGCTGCCCCCGGCCCAAACCCACCGGTTGTCACGGGCACCTCCCACGTCGCAGTCGCAGGGCCGGCACCCCTGCAGGTCGTGGCTCAGAGCCCAGTGCTCGGGCTGTGGGAGCAAGGGGGTCAGTGGGCGCCGGCACCGCGTCTCCGAGCACCGTGCACGGTGCCAGGGCAGCTGCACGTGGTACCGCACACGGTACCGCACACGGGCACCCCGCACAGCCCCGCTCACCAAGCACTGGTTGCAGCTGCGCCCGGTCACCAGCCGCTTGCAGAGACATTCACCGCTGACGGGGTCACAGCGGCTGCCGTCGGCCACGGTGCCGCGCGGGTCACACTGGCACCCTGCGCAGAGAGCGCCGCGGTGTCCGGCCGGGCCGAGCCACCCGGCACGGCGCCGCGGGGAGCCGGCGCTGCCGGTGCCACCTACGCTGGCAGCCCTGCGGGTCGTTGGCGCTGAGCCCGAAGAAGCCGGGCTTGCAGCGGTCACAGCGGGGGCCCCGCACGTGCTCCTTGCAGCGGCACTGCCCCGCGATGAGCCCCCGCGCCGGGTCGTCGGCAGCGTCGCAGAGCCCGCCGTCCAGCGAGCCCTCGGGGTCGCAGTCGCAGGCTGCGGGCACAGGCAGGGTCAGGACGCGGCCGCGGGCACCCTGGGGGGCTGCCCAGTGCCCTGTCCCACCTCGGCACACCGCGGGGTCCCGCAGGTCCTTGCTGGGGTCCTTGTAGTAGAAGGGCTTGCAGAGGTGGCAGCGGCGGCCCATGGTGTTGTGCTGGCAGCCGTCGCACACGGCCCCGCTCGCGTTGCCCGTGGCCAGGTACACGGCCATGTCGAAGTGGCACCGCTGCGAGTGCTCGTTGCAGTCGCACCCTGCGGGGACGGCACCGCGCGCGGCATGCGGCACCCGCACCCCAAACTCGACACGTGGTACCCGCACCCCAAACCCGACACGTGGCACCCGCACCCTAAACCCAACACACAGCACCTTGATCCCAAACCCGACACATGGCACCCGCACCCCAAACCCTGGTGCCCCAAACCACGGCATGCAGCACCCTTGATCCCCAAGGCTCCTCCAACAGCAGCATGCAGGATTCTGAACCCAAGCACAGCCTGCAAGAGGCAGCACCCCCAAACACGGCCAGCTGGGTCCTCGTACCCCCCCCCAAACCGCAGCCCAGCACCCAGGACCCCCAGGTCCGGTGCAGCCCATCCCAGGCTCCCCACGGTGGGACCCCGCTCCGGCAGCACTCACTGCGGCAGGCATTGGTGCTGCTGCCCTCGGCCGGGCGCCAGGGCAGGTCGTGGTAGAAATCCTCGCAGCGCTCACAGTTGAGGCCCTGCGTGTGGTGCTTGCAGACGCAGCGGCCGTGCACCTGCCCGGACACCACGGTGAGGGGCACAGCACGGGCACTGCGTGGCACCGCCGCGGCGCCGCGCTCGCCCTACCATGCCCTCGGTGTCCGGGGCGCTGCCGCTGAGCGGGGCGCACTCCGAGGCGTGCCCGTAGCAGAAGCAGTTGCCGCGCAGCACCAGCTCGTACAGGGCATAGTAGTACTTCTCGCGGATCTCCCGCCGCGAGTCCAGCAGGTTGTCGCCCAGCGTGTGCAGCTTGGTGAGGTTCACCCGCAGGTTGGTGACGCGCAGCAGGTCTGGCACGGGGAGACACCGGCGTTGTTGCACAGCCGCAGCAGCGCGTTGCAACCCGGGTGCGTTGGGCTGCGCTGCCAGGCTGGGAGCTGCACGGATGGGCACTGCCCTGTTCGCTTGGCAGAGGTTTTGCATGGTGGGCAAGGGCAGGTTGGGGGGCTCTGGGGCTGGGGGTGCTCGTGGGCAGCGCTGTGCACAGCGTCCATGACCTCACGCTGCTCCGGCGCCCCGGCAGGACGGGACGGCTCCCCCGGGATGCAGCTTCCCAGCAAGCCAGCCCTGCAGATTCCTCCCCTCCTCCTGCTCCCAGCCTAAATTTAGCCGGGCTGCTTAACCCCCTCCATGTCATCCCCGGTTCCGCTGCAGCCTTTCCCACCGCCCATCCCTTCCTGCTCGGCGCTGGGGCCGGGCCCAGCTCTGGCACGGCCCAGTGGCAGGCGCCGCCATCCCAACATTCCCGCAGGCCCATCCCGATGTTCCTGCAGGCCCATCCCTCTGTGCTCCGAGCATTCGCTGTGACGCAGTCTGACCCTCCGCTCTTCCCAAGGGCTGCAGCCCCCAGTGCGGCCCCTGTGGCTCCCGGGGGCTGGGATGCAGGGGGACACTGAGTCCCTACAAGCTGGATCCGTCCCCACCCCACTGGAGGAGCTCAGAGCCGGGGAAGAGCACCCGGAATAGCTGCACCCAAAATAGAGCCGCCAGGCTGGAGCCCCGCGCGGGCGGCCGCTCACTCTGGATGTCGGCGCTGTAGGGGTCCGGGATGGGGATGGCCGGGTCCAGCACTCGGTAGATGACCTGCACACACGGGGACGGCAGAGCGGCGAGGGGACACGCGAGGCAATCCCAACCCGTCCCGGCGCTGCCGAGCCGCGTGCACGGGCCGCTCCACACCCACCCCATCCCGCCGAGCTGTGCGCCCTGCTCTGACCTCATCCTGTCCCTGCAGGCTGTGAGCAAGCCCTGAGCTGTGGCCATCCCATCCCATTCCATCCCATCCCAACCCATTCCTGTAAGCTGCAGGCGAACCCTGCTCTGTGTCCATCCCATCCCATCCCTGTGAGCTGAGGGCGAGCCCTGCTCTGTGTCCATCCCATCCCATCCCATCCCATCCCATCCCATCCCATCCCATCCCATCCCCACAAGCTGTGGACAAGCCCTGATCTGTGTCCATCCCATCCCAATCCATCTCATTCCATCCCATCCCTGTGAGCTGCAGGCGAGCCCTGCTCTGTGTCCATCCCATCCCATCCCATCCCATCCCATCCCATCCCATCCCATCCCATCCCATCCCATCCCATCCCATCCCATCCCACACCCACAAGCTGTGGACAAGCCCTGATCTGTGTCCATCTCATCTTATCCCACGCTGTCCCTGCAAGCTGGGTGCATTTCCTGCTCCCATCCCATCCCATCCCCGTTGTCTGAGTGCATGCCCTGCTCTGTGTCATTCCCATCCTATCCCACCACAACCCATCCCTGCGAGCTGAGTGCATGTCCTGCTTCACTCCTGGCGCTGCCGGCTCTCACCTCGCCCTCGGTGGAGGGCTCGATGTCGGAGTAGCGCGACTCGCAGACGACGTCGTCGACGCGGCGCAGGGGCCCGCGGGGCACGCGGGGGAAGGCGGCCGCGCAGTCGTAGGCGAAGTAGCGGTACACGCGCCACGTGCGCCCGAAGTCGGCCGAGCGCTCCACCAGCATGGCCGCGGGACGGAAGGTCTGCGGGACGCCAG